CGGTATCTCCGAGCAAGTGTATTGAGGCTCGTGGGACTCGAGTTCTCAGGTTGTAACGGTTTGTTAAGCACCCGTAAGCTTAACGGAAGTAGTGTAGCTCGAGAGAGTCTCTCGGGAGGCTGGATTAGCCACAAGTTGTGGTGAACCAGGGTAAATCTTGGTGTGCTCCCTTTACTCCTTTTTATTCCGCTCTTTACTTTATCCCTGCGATTTTTATTCCGTGAAAATTTATAAACATACTAGACCGGGTCTAGAATAGTTTGCTTGATTTGGCAAAGTAAGAGAGGTAAAAACTCGTAGATTGACCGGTAGGACTTTAGGTGGAACACCTGTAGCCCAATTTATATAATAACGGAGAATGCACGGGTGCTTTTACAAGGGAGTTTAGAGAGAATGAATTCGGATCCTCTTTCTGAGGTTTACAAGGGGTATATATACTAAGCTGGGGGGACAGGTCCACGTGCGCCCACGTGGGGGCACGCTGCTGATGTGGTGCGAGATGACTGTCCCTGAGCCGCCTTTCATCTTGCGAGGGGGATTACCCTCCTTGTCACGTTCTGGCTTGGAAATATTCCTCCAGCATCTCTGCAATTCCAACCACTACAGTCCAAGTCCTTTTGGACTCCTCCTGCCGACACTCCCCAATCTCTAAAAGTTGCACCGGTTGATTTCTGAAGGTTTGGATTAATTGTCTTCGGAATCGGTTCCTGCTGATGGAATAATCTGACCGGTCAACTTTTTGGTCAATCGGTGGTCCATTTGCCGACGATTCAGATCTCTCTTCAAAGTTTGACCTCTCTGACCGGTCAACTATCCGGTCCTGACCTTTGACCGGTCGTGGGTGAAATACACCCATCAATAAGCCCTCCACTTCTCGGTTATGCAATTTTGTCATAAGCGGGAAGTAAAAATTTAAAACTGGACCTTTAAATTCGAATTTTTGGCTTTTCCCGCTCGAAATTTTTGAATTTCAAAATTCAAAGTGTCCGTTATGACACGTGTGGCCCGCTGGATGGCGTCAGACCTGCGCCCTTTCGCCTTCCCAGGCGCAATGATGGCGCCGTCTGACGCGGCGCGCCCTGGCGAAGCCACGTCGCCTCCCTCTCCTTCCTCTTCGCCTATATAAAGGCTTCAATCCCCACTGCCTTCCTCACTTCTTCCTCGCGCGTCTCCCGAGTTTCACCGGTCAATCTCCTCTCTCCTGCCTTCCAGCCCTCCGAGCCAAGTAAGCTCTCTTCTTTTCCTCAGCTTTCCTTATTCTCCATCTTTCCTCCCGCTAAATGTCTTCTTCGGACAGCCAGGATATTTCCCCCTCGGATGCCTACGCATCCGAGGAATCGCCCTCTTCCTCCTCCTCCACCGGGTCATCTTCACCCGATTTTGAACACCGGTCGGTTCCCAACACCACCGTTCCCGAACCGCAGCCGGTTAACCAAATGCCCGGTCAGGTTTTTCAGGAGAGGGATGAACCGGTTAACGATGAGCCGGCCCCCTATGACCCTGACAACGAGTCGTATGAGGGATGGGTGAACCGGCTGGAAGCGGTCGGTTACTTTCCCCTCCCTACTAGTTACCCTTCAGACATCTACCCCCATCGAGCCTCACCGGGACGATAGGGTAGGGTTCCATATCATCTCCCTGGAGAGTGGCACCGTCTTCCCCCTTCGCCCCCTTCTGGTCGAGTTGTGCCACTGTTTCAAGATCCTCCCCGGGCAACTTACGCCCAATGCCCATCGTTTTCTTAATGCTTTTGTAAATATCTGCACCCATCTCAAAATCGATCCCTCCCTTCGCTTTTTCCTCTATTTGTTTGAAGTCCTTCCCAGTAAGACGGGTTGCGACGGCTATGTCTACTTCAAGGGCCGTAACGGTCGCCAATTCATTTCTGACCTTCCACAAAGCAATCGGCTGTGGAAGGAAAAATTTGTTTTTATAAAGTTTCCCACCACGTCTCCCTTGGCCGGCTTAAAGTGGAGCGACCATATCCTGAAGCCGCAATATACTGAGCCGACTAACGCTCCAGACTTGGAAGAAAGTTTGGAGAAACTTCTACAAGGGGACCCGTTCACCGGGCAAATGTTCCATTACGGGGCTTGGATTTGTAGTAATTGAACGAAATTTTTAGAAGAGATGAAGTGTGTGTACTAGCATTGATACACGCGCATTGATGCTATATTTAGTTTTAGGACCATGCTACACTTACACCAAGAATTGTGCCTCATTTGTACACCGTAGTTATACACAAATATTTTGATGGTTCACACCGACACAAGTGTTTGTGCGTTAACAAAAAATTACACGGACACAAAGTATTGCTGCGTTAACAAAAATTAGTTTTACACCAACACAAAATGTTGGTGCAAACCTGTGGTGTACAAATGAGGTATAGAAGCTTGGGGTACAAATAGCTTTATCCTTAGTTTTAACATCACATCATGTGTTTTGTATTAAGTTTTTGGTAATCCTTTAATATAATAAAGGAGACTCGGATGCACAAAAATTCGACATTTGGCATGTCTATGTGGCAAAATTTATACATGTCAGCACGCCACATAATATCCGAATAAACCAGCGGAAATAAAGATGGGGCGAAAGCTGAAAGAGGTAACATTCGACCGGTATATTCTCTTGAATTTGTTGCCTTTCTGTCGCACTAACCAGTGCGTTTCGTTTTGCAGATGGGCGAGGTTGGGCCTAAAACCTTGGAGAGGCTTGCCGAGGACTCCCCTCCCCGGTCACTCCAGCTGGAGGAGAAGCTGAAAGGAGTCGAGGCCCACAACCGGGAGCTGCAGGACTTGATAGCCCGGCAGCTTGATGAGATGGCCAATCTTTCAGCAATTGCCGGGAGGGCCAAGGCAGAGACCCTCCAGCTGAAGGAAGAGAACCTGAAGCTGATGGAGGACTTGGAGCTAAAGGAGCGAGAGTTCCCCGGCAGGGCCAAGCAATGGGTGGGGGAGAACTTGGAGGACACGGCCCGGGTGATTACCTCTACTCCGGAGGTGACGATGGAGGCCTTCAAGTTCATCTACCGGGAACCCAACGAGAAGGAAATGGTCACCCAGGTTGGGTCTTACGGTTTCATGTCCGGGCAGAAACGAGACCGGGAGGCTACCCACGCAATCTTGGCTGAGCGGGACCCGGCCTTCTCTGCCGATGCTTATGGCCTGGCGCCCATCCCCGATGAAGAACCCGAGCCCCCTTTCCCCTTGGAATGAAATCTCCCCGGCTGTGCCCGGTTGGATCGTTTAAAACTTTAAGCTCATTTCCCCGGGAATGCCCGGTGTAGCTGTAAAACACTTATCTTCCTCAAAACTTTTATTGAATGTGATGTTTGATTTCCATGAATTTTGGTAGGGAACAAAAGATAAGGATTAAATAGTGGCAATTGATAGGTGATAAGCAAAAGAAATTCTAAGAGCTGATTAATTATTAAAGAAGTAAACTAGGATGGACATGTGTGTGTCTATATCTATATATATATATATATACACACACACACATATACATATATATATATATATATATATATATATATATATATATATATATACACACACATACATACATACATACATACATACATACATACATACAGTTTGAATTTCTTTATGTGGGTTATTAATGTAAATTTGCTCGGTGGTCCCTTGTAACTTTCGGGGTTCTGGTCTAGTCCCCCCTGAACGTGGTGATAGTTTTTAATAAATTTTGGTAAGGGTTCCCTCGTCCTTACCCCACTGTTTTTGGTGGAACGCTACCGGGTTTTAATATATATATATATAAGATCTTCCATTTTGTACACCGCAGGAATGCACCAACATTTTGTGTTTGTGTAATGCTAATTTTTTTAACGCACCAACACTTTGTGTCAGTGTAAATTTTTATTAACACATTAATACTTTGTGTCAGTGTGAACTATCAAAATGTTGGTGCATACTTTTAGCGTACAAATGGGATACAAATTTTGGAGTACATGCTCCAAAAAAAGTAGTCTCACACCGGATGAACGGAAGGAAGCGTGGATTACCCGAGCTTAATATAGATGAGCACATAGTTTGGCTCGTAAATATTTTTACGCGTCTAGAAGATTGAAGCTGAATTCGTATTCTGGGAAACCTTAAGTAGTAGGGTAATTATTAATCTAAGCCGAATCAAAGATTATTGATCTACGAACAAATTTTCTGTGATATCTCATACTCCCTCCGTCCTAGAGTATTCGTCTAGTTTTGACTTTTGGAACTGTTCATCTAAGCATTTTGACTCATCAAATTCTCTCAATGTGTTAGCCTAAATATAGTCATGTGTGATCTTGTTTGATTTGTCTTAACATATAGATTATTAATATATAATTTCTATAATTTTTTAATATACAAATTATAAGATAAAACGGATTAAAGAAGTGTATTGGATGGTGTATAAAAATGAAAGTGGACAAATATTCTAGGACAGAGGTAGTATTATTATCACAATTTGTTTTGTTTTAGAACCTTCTTTTAGGACATTTGGCGGGATTCTGTCAGCTTTTTGGCAACTCGATTCGCGCGTTTGTTGAGATGCCAGAACCTTTGCAAGTCGTCTGCCCTGGAGTAAATCTGTACTAATTTGATTTTTGTTCTTCAATTCACTCGTTCTTTCGTTGTTAGTGTTCAAAGAATTTTCAATTCTTTTTTGCATCTTTCCCGTTGTGTGATAAGTTGGGGAATTGCATATGTGTTACTTTTAGGCTCCATTTTGGGTTTCTATTGGTGTTAATGGTGGATTGTGTGTCCATTTGGGCTCCTTTGTTTCTCATTTGTTGTCTCCGAATGACGACGCAGTTTTGAGTTAGGGTTTCCTGTTTTGGGTTCCTGAAAAGGTGAAAATTTTGGTAGTATTTTAAAAAATCTGAAGAAGAACATATTGTTTTCACGTGAATCGACTTCTAAATTTCCCATTAATCAAATGCAGGAAGTAGTCAGAATTGTGACTTATGAACTCATGATGAATTATGGATCATCTGATGCATGCTTGCACCTTATTTCTGACGCTAATATTGTTCGTCTGTTACGGTTTCCTATTTAGAAAATTAAAAGTTAGTGCTTTTTCTAAAAAATGGAGGTTATTATTGTTGCTAGTTGTTGGTTGATGTTGTGATTCACATACATTTAGTGTGAGTGGTTGAGTTTTGCTAAAAGTCAAATATTGCCTTAGGCTTAGGCCAGCGTCAAGTGTCCTTGTGGTCGGTATGTCCATTTCTTCTTTTGATCACGAACTGCTATTTGGGGGTGGCAAGCTTTTTATGGAAAGTGCGGGTTTTTAATTTCTTTGTGTGTTTCATATGACATGTTGCCTGATGATACAAAAGTACTGTATGATATCAGTGGGCGTCCACTTAAGGAAATTGACTACGATGACCCTGATGATGAACTTCTTGTTGACAGTAGAGATTACGACCGCTATGCTGATCTTGCTTTGGCGTACTACAATGACAAACATGTCCGTGAATGTGTTCTCAGCCCCCTTCACCTCCTACTTTATTTTGTTTGTACATTCTTTGTCTAATTTTACAATTTCTCAATTATAATGAATTATTTGGGTTCGCGATTTTCTTGTTCTGAAAATTTAATGTTAGTTTATTGCCTTGCAGTGCACTGACTACCATAAGGTTGACCCACCTCATGGAGGCATGCAGTGTTACGAGGTAAGTTGGGGTGCCAAAGTAATTGTTCATTGTGGTTTTCCTGCTGCACAAACCACAGCTGCTGAGTGTGACTCATTAGTTAAGAGCTTCTTTGCGGTGCTGGAGCAATCAAAACTAAATGATGATGATGTGCTTGTTGTTTCTTGTTGCATCGCGGATGGTAAGGACTTTCATGACATTTCACGTATCCAGATATATTATGCTCTGCGTCTTGTAACACTCTTTGCGATATCCAAATTTTATATTTAGAAGAATCCTTTCACAGCATATATATTTTGTGGATTGGAATACGCCATGGATTTCAAAGATGTAATCTTTTAGAATATTTAGAAATTGAAAAAAAAATCCTGAAATCGTTTTGAAGGAATTAAGATCTGTTGAAATATATGGAACACCAAAGAGTTTGAAGAAAACAAACTTGCCCCCAAAAGCATGCTTCAGTGTTTATGATTTGTGTCCTACAAGATGAAGCAAATATGAATACTGTGCTTCTATTTCAATTTTCTCATATGTCACTATTTTGTATCCTTTTATTTTAATTTTAGGTCTTAAAACGGTCGGCTGTGAGGGCTGCGATATTAGCATGTGTGGTCCATATGATCCAAGTTGGTATGAAAAGGAGGTCGAGCGTTTGAAAGCTCGGTATGCAATGACCAAAGTTCACTTCCACCCATAAAATTCACATTTGTAGTGAGGATGAAATGTCATTCCATTTGCATTGGTGCTCTATGACTATTTATATCATACCATTAATTAAATATATGGAGCATGTATGATCTAAGTTACTTGGACTTGCGTACATAATATTGTGTGTGTACCATTTATAATTTCAGGGAAGACAGATTTCCTTTATCAAAATATGCCCATTATTTGGCTGATGGGGTGACCTTGAGTGAAAAGGCGAGGTTGAGGCTTCCTTACCCATTATTGGCATTGGATTATTACAACAAAAAGCATGTGTGTGCAATCAATCCTTGACATTTTGATGAATCCCTTAGCATTTTCTGTTGGGATTTTAAGCGCGTAAGACTATTAAAATATCAACAACATGAAAAATAAATAACACACTACACAAGAAGAAAATATGAGAGAAAAAATATATCTTCACTCTTTCAGAACGATACACAAAAAACTCTCCCCTGATTACAAGCACTAAATACCAGACACTTATAAACAGACTTTTCACACCCTACACCCGGATGTATTTTTTCGAGTAACTAAAACCAGTTACTCCCTACACTCACTCACACAAATCTGGTGATATTTTGTGTAGCACCTTTCTCTTAACCCTCCTCTCTTAGTGTGTCTCAAACCCACCCACATGTTGCCTTGCTTTTATAACTAAAAATATACCCCGTAAGCATCCATGGTTTAAGAGGAGTCAAAAAAGTAAAATTCACTTTGATTTGATGACATGCACCAAGCCAATCAAATATCCCACTTTTGATCTTCTTTGTCCTCTTTGTGATTTTTTTTCTTTCTCTTTGATTAATTAATCAAATATCCCAACATTTTCTTGCTAGTTCATTTCTGTAATTCATTTTCTTCTTGCAGCATACGAACTACAAGCTTGTGGATGCCTTGCCATCCTACAAATTGATTGAGGGCAGTTTTATGATACATTTAAACTTTATAGCAAGGCAAGAAGGTGATGTGGCCAATAAGCTCTTCTTTGCTGAATCAGAGATGAACCGCAAGGGTGTTCGGGTTGTTACTGTTTGTCGCATCTTACATGGTACTGATTTTCGAAAGCTTATCCTCCTAAGAAACAACCTGTGGACTTTCCATTTTTATTTTTTAATAGTCTTTTCTTTTGATTTGATGCGCTCGTTTTCTTTCTTTCCGTTCTTACTTATCGTAGGATGTAAAACCACTGCTGGCTGTCATGTCTGCAAGGAGCGGCGGGGGAACAGAGTTATTCATCCCACAAGTGGATTTCGTTATGGGCGTTACCCTTTTGGATATCGAACCCTACGCAATCGCGAAGGCCTACACAATGTCTGCAATCCTTTATAATTATTTGGGTGTTTTGGCTTTGGAGTTCAATTAATTGGTGAAGAACGTTGAAGTGATCTGTAATTTATGAAGCCGTGATTGTCCACTTTTTAACTTAACCAAGTTGTGTGAGTGAATGCTGCTACACCAAGGTATTTTTTGAACGCCTATATTTGGATGGGTGTTGGTTGTCCACTTTTGATATCTAGGAATAGGTATGCATGTTGGTTGGTTTGTTACATTCGGGTTGTCTAGTCTTGTGATGCTTACGATTTGTGCATTAAATTGAAATCTCATTTCTATTAAAAAAATTATTTACCCATACTAATTATTAACCTACCCATGAGAAGATACTTTTTTATTAATAATCTAAACATCACATTTTATTTTTATCTATCACATCAGAAGTATCTTTAGAAGGCACAAATATATATCTTCTTTAGATTTAATTTCCTAAAAGTTAAAACATAAACATATTTTTGAGATGGAAAAAGTATGTGTATGCAAAATCGAACCAAACCCCAAACTTATCTTTTGTTTTGTCTTTAGTTTTGGGTGACAAAAAAAACCGTCAACACCAAATTAATCCCACCCCAGCTATTTACATGCATGATTATTGATTAAATTTCAATTTACCCAAGTTTAATTTTTGCAACTCTAAGTCATGCCCCCACCCTTTACAAGCAATGACACTCGATACAGTAATCATAATTTTTCATTCAAGAGTATTAATTAATCATTCATGCATAACACCTTCAAAAAAAATCATTCATGCATAACACATCAAATCTAAGATAGATCTAGTTTGAGAACGGGCGGGTAGTGTTTAACAACAAAAACCAAGTAATCAGGCCGGCCGGGCAATGTTGAAATATATTTAATACATATTGCCATCTTCAAATCTTAAAATTAAAAACAAAAACGGCTGGCAGACCGCATCCAGTGAACTCCCCTTCCTTCTAATTATCTCAAACACGTACACCTGCACACAACAAATTAAACACAAAGATGAACCAGAATCAATATCAGTCAAACACCCTTTCATATTAATTAGAGTATGTATAAGACTTAGATTCTATAACGTGTTCTAATTGGCAATTCAGAGAATACCTACTAGACAAATATTGCCGGGGGGGCAGATAGTTTGTTCGGGAGACGCACTTTTGCTTGATATATTTTCAAGACAAGGCCGAGCGGTGCCATCCCTCTTGCCTTTCCTAGAAGCCCGTGGTATTCCGGGCCGGTCGAATCTTGATAGATTCCGGGGGCACAATCATAAGTAGCGGCTTCTTCAGACTCAACCTTTTTGAGCCCCAAGATAACCACCGTATGTGTTTGATCAGTTAACTCGCTCGTGCCCCTATAGACCGCCTGTGCGTGTTAGCTCCCGTCGTAGTCCGACATTATCGCTAGCGTCCCTAATACCGTGCCTGCTTCTAACCACTTGGTCAAGTGAAAAAGCTTGACATTAGGTGTTATCAAGTCCCTAAGATGATCAAATTCTGGTTGGGCAAGTGGGAGTTGCTCAAAAGTGGAAATTTGGAATTCCAACCTGTTCCAAAGTGGAGCACCCCTTGACTTTGCAAATGTCAAAAGACTGGAAAGTTTTCCGTTAGGAGGATGGCTCCTCTGGAAGTCCCTCCTCAAGGCTTTGTGGTCCACCAACTCAACATCCGGAAGTTTGACAGGTCGGTAAGCGCCGGCGTATCAAATCCGGAGCTCGTAGTCTATATGTCTAGCCAATGCCGCAAACATACATCTGTCTGTACGTACAATACCATATGTGTGTGTGTGTGTGCGCGCGCGCATCAAATGTAATGTACTCCAAGTAAATAAGAAAATTCAATTCAATTTTAATTAATTGTATATATTAGGGACACTCGATCATTACCGGGCTCTTGTTTTAAGGCGCTTCGGACTAAAGGATAGCTATCGTTAGGGCCGAAGTTTTCCCACACTTTTAAGTTCTTCAACATCCTAATAAATAATTTAACATTACATAATTTCTATAAATCAGAACCCTGTAAAAAATTATTAAATACAGAAGCTATTTCTATCTTTGTATGCATCCATCCATCGGATATCTAATTAAGAATGACCTGACGGCCATAGTGCATGATTACTCCATAGACGCTTATTAGAGGCTAGCTTGAGCTATACAAAACTAAATAAAAAATTGTAACACCCAAAGTGATTATTAATTACTGTAGCTATTACCAAGAAAGCCAGCTGCACCCTGCAGGTAGAGTACCAGAGGGTACAGATGCCTTTCCCTTCATATGGGGCAGGGCCGCCGGGCCGGTCGTCGTCGTCGTCATGGATGGGGAGGTTAAAGCCGTCCCCACGAGGCTATGACGGCCAGCGTGTCGGGGTGGCCGGAGATCCTACTAGACGGTGCGGCGCCACCCGAGGCGGCAGTCGCCCGTGAAGTAAGAGTCCGGTTCCGGCCCGGGAAAGAGGGGTGTATGTACGTGTGCGTGTTCCTTTTCTTAAGTTCAAACATATATAACTTGGAGCATATAAGAATAAACACACGTCCAATGTATAAAAGAGCATGCGGCATTGCAGTTACAAGATCATCAGAGGAATGAAACAGTATCTTTGTATATAATCTGAGAGTATTATATTATTCTAACTTACTCGTGACAAAGAATTGAAAAATTAAGCTCACTCGCGCACGCACAATTATCTTCTCCTTCCCTAGCTGGCTTGCCCTTGCTTAGTGTTTGATCTCAGCCAATGTATTCCATATGCTACGTACCTAGCCAAGTTATATTAAATCTCTTTCTCTCTCACAGGCGGCGAAAATATGAAAACACCTTTACCTTTGATTGATTGAAAACCTACACTCAATCATTATAGCTAGCTAGCTAGTTTGTAGGCACATCTTACTCCTCCCTATCAGACAATTTACATACTCCCCTACCTAAATGATTTTATTACTCCCTCCGTCTCTAAATATATCTCACATTTCTATTACCAATCTATATTCCTTTTTATGTAGTTTTTTGATATGTAAGTTTTATTTTTTATTTCTATACCAATATGTATAGCCAATGCCGCAAACTTACATCTGTCTGTACGTACAATACCATATATATGTGTGTGTGTGTGTGTGTATATATATATAGATACATACATACATACATACATACATACATACATACATACATACATATATATATATATATATATATGCATCAAATGTAATAAATGGATCATAGACTGTTGGTAAATTTCCCTCCTACATGGAGGAAGTGTCCAATTTTTATTGGACAACACTTTAAATCTCTCTTTTGTATTTTGGACTTATTTTTTGTGTGAAACTTTAGCCCAAATATTTTTTGGGCCCATTCTCTTTTGTGTGGCTGGATACTAACAAAGAAAGAAAAGAGATAAGAGAGCAAAGAGAAGTGGAGAAGAGGAGGGCAGTGGCAGTAGCCAATACGCAGGAGACAACAACAACAACCCAGTTGAATCCCACAACAGTAGGGTCTGGGGAGGGTGTGTGTACGCAGACATTGCCCCTACTCGGAAGTAGGGAGGCTGTTTCCAAGAGACCCCCGGCAAAAGATTCCCAACAAATACAAAACACTACAAAACAACCTCTACAACACCGAGCTCCTATCCAGCTACTCTAATCCTAGTTCTCCAAAGGTTCCTATCTAGGGCCATATTTTCAGTCAGGTCGAGAAGTCCTAAATCCTGTCTTATCACCTCCTCCCAATTCTTCTTAGGTCTACCACTTCCCCTACTTCCCTCGATAACTGTAATCCTCTCGCATTTCCGTACAGGGGCGTCAGCATCCCGCCGTCTCACATGGCCAAGCCACCTCAACCTCGCTTCCCGCAACTTGTCTTCCACCGGTGCCATACCTACTTGACGTCGGATAACCTCATTCGAAATTCTATCCAACCTTGTCTTCCCGCACATCCATCGTAACATCCGCATCTCCGCCGCATGCAGACGACGCACATGAGTCTTCTTAACCGCCCAACACTCTGCCCAATATAACATAGCAAGTCTGACTATGGATCGATAGAACTTACCTTTCATTCTAGGCGAAATTTTCGGATCACACAACACCCCTGAAGCTAACTGCCATTTGGCCCAAGCCACTCCAACCCGATGTCCAACATCCGCATCTAACTCCCCATCTACCTGAATTACCGAGCCAAGATAACGAAACCTGTCTACCTTAAGTACTAGGTGAGAGTCAATCTTGACTTCCACCTCTGATTCTTTCCAAAAGAAGAAAAAACAGAATTTCCGTCACAATGTGCAGCAGCCCCGTTTTCTGTCCGGATCGAAGGTCAAACCAAGAGCTAGTATATTGCTTAATTATTCAGAGGCAAATGTGTGATCAATTTAGATAAGAGGTCTTAACCATTCAGACTTTGTATAATACTTAACCATTCAGAGGCAAATGTCTGAACCATTCAGACATCTGAACATTAAGAGGCTGAAACAAACAATCTGAACCTTTAGGTGTTGAACCATCCAGACATCTGAACCATTAAGAGGCTGAAACGAACAGCACCTTAGTATTTGTTAAAATGGTAGGATTCTCATTACATTGGAATCAAATTGCGGTAGTTATGATATTCGATTCATTAAAATGATGAGTGTATTCCCGTCGTCCATAATTTTTTTCTTAGTTGACTCTTTACAGTCTTTGATAAAATAAATTGACAATTAATATCTTTATTTATATTATTAAAAAAATCTTATTAAAAACTATATTTTAAAATGTATAAATATTAATAGTAAATACATACAATAATTCAATATATATTTTATATCAAAATTTAAAAATATTTGACGAAGAAAATAAAAATAAAGAAGAAATTTTGGGACACAGAAAATAAAAATTGGTGTACTTGAGGGAGTATGATTTTTATTAGTGATACTCTACATACCAATTTTTTTCTTTAACGGTGCAGATTTGCAAGGAAGGGACCGTTACTTATTTTAGAAAAAGCAATCAAACCAAATAAAAACTATCCGTTGTGGTTCTTAAAAGTCACACCTTTCCAACTCATATCCCTATACCGTTGTGGTCCTTCCCCCATCTCCTTCGAACTCAACCTTTGACTTCCAGTTCGTAGACAAACTGAGTTTCTTGACAAGAAACGAAGAAGAAGAAGAAGAAGAAGACGATGGTGGCCAGAAGCCCACCAAAGCTTCACCAGTGGAAAACTCCGGCGGCCCCTCTGGACCCCATCCGCCTCCGGGAAACTCTCAAAAAGGTTTTTTTTCTTTCTTTGTATTTTTCCTTCTGGGTTTTCTAACAATTAATATGATTGATTGTGATTTTGTGCCATTTCTTCTCGATCTTAAAAAAAAACCCTTTTTTGTGGTGAAGGTGGACAAGTGTGTGGCCAGATTAGAAGAGCTGCAATGCACTGTGACCGGAGGAAAGGGGATTATATCTGGGGCGGGTCTTAGCCCTAGAAGCACCAGAGCCTATTTAAGGGCCACCAGCCTCAGATGCAAACAAGATTCTATCAGGTAACTTTGATGCAAAACACATTTACAGAGTGTTCAGATTTTTTTTTTAGTATCTCTGAATTTGAGGTGTTTCTTGTCTTGACTATGTTTTTGTTCTTCTCCCAATTCCTAGGATCAAGAATGGTTCTTCTAACAGATCTCCTCGTGGAAAATTGCCCGCGAATGCAGCAGGTATTGTGGCTTGAAGAATTGACTAATAAATGATAGAAATATTCCTAATTTTTGAGTCTCATTTGAGGGGCAGTGAAATTTCTCCACATCATTCTAGAGAAAATGCCAAGAACCAATTTTTTGAGACTTTCAAGAACTGTTTTTGAAATATTTGTATCTCATTACTTTTACTAGAAAAAATCTTGGCAAGTTGTTCTGTTTTTCCCAATGAAAATCCGACATTCGAATTCAAAGCGTCTATAAATGAAGATTTTAATCACTACTAAGCACTAAAATGTGCAGAAAAAAAGCCCCAAAGTTCTTGGGTTAGAAGAAGTTATAGGCAATCTGAATGAAAAACAACAATAAGTGTGACCACAGAGAGGGGATGATTGATGGATGGTTGATTATCTGTGCAGGAGAGTGGAAGAGGATGTCATTACCAGCAATGCTGCTAGGAGAGACAGTGACTGAAATCCTACAAGCAAGTCAGTTTGCAAGAGAGGTAGTGGAAGCAGCGGCTGCGGTCTCTGATGACCCCAAAACCCCTCCGGTCACAATCCGGCGAACCAATAAGAATCCTGGCCTGGAAAACTCCGAGCTGCGAGCTCGAAGAAAAAGGGAGAAGGAAGAGGTTAAAGCTGTCCCCCGTCCTTCTCTGAGACGCGCCCGTTCGCGCATAAACTTCAAGGTCTCCCCTCCTCCACACAAGACAGAAGAAGAGTATGAAATTGAAGAAAACTGCAATGGCAAATACATTGCCTCTCCTAGGATGAATAATAATAGGCCATGGGCTACAACAAGAAAGACTGTTCTTTTCCCCAACCCTTTGTTCCATAGATCACCATCACCCCCAGCAGCAGCTTCACAGCAGCAGAAGACCAGCAGAACAAAGTCACCTGTTTTTTCAAGAACTGGTCAGCAAAAAACCCCACACAAGTTCTTGATCAAGTCCCCGAATCCGCCTTCCAGGAGGTTTCAGGTGAAGATCAGGAGGAGCCCTCCATTGTCTATTTCCCCTCCTCCTCCTACAAGAGCTGTGGCTAAAGACAACAAGTCTCCAAAGATTTCTACGGCTGGAAGGCTGAAAAGATCACTTTCCCCTTCAAGGTTTGCAAACCGGATGCTGTTAGCATCTTCTTCGCCATCAAAGATTAGAAGATCATTTTCGCCATCACGGCTGGCAAACAAGCTTGTTTCTCCATTGAAGAGTAGGAGGAAGTCTGTGCAGATAAACAGTGCTGATGCTATGAAGATGATGATGAGCGGATTGAAACAACAACCATCATCAACAAGTTCATTGCCAATGCAATTCCCAGCTCGGAGATTGTGATTGTGATTTGGTTCTTTTTGTTCCTTGCATATCGTTTTTCTTTTCCGTGTCTATATAGAATTTTAGTTTCATTGGTGGGTATGAATTTGTGTTCCATTGTCTATTATGGCACACACCTTCTCTCAGATTAACTGTGGGCACTTTACTTCCTCAATCAAGGACAATAAAACATTTTAATTCTTTGTATGCTATTTGAGCATGTGGATTTGTGTGAAGTGTTTGAATTTGGTTAAAACTATGTTGAAAGAACAGTTCTAGAATAATTATGCAATGCAAAAAATTGCTTTGGCTTCCTCAAAATGCGTTATTCCTATTTGTAATCCTTGCCATTGTCCTCCCTTATGTACCACCACAAACGGGATGTTGAAGATCGTTCTTGTTCTTATGTATGGCATGCACCACAATCCTAGTAGGGTCAAAGCACGTTATTATTTCCAGGTCTTTGATCATATGCAATTTCATTGAAAAGACATTACATGTAGAAGGGCGAAATGTCAGCACACATGGCTCACACAACACAAAGTTGTATGAGATCCTAAGAACTTGTCTTTCACGATCGGATCCAATCATAGACTTTATAGCCTCTTAGACCAACCAAGGACACCTCAATCGGGAGACGGACTTCAAAAACATTCTTGTAAGACAATAAAATGAGGGGATTGACAACTATGGCCTAAACTTTCCGACAACGTGAGAGGATAGTACGTATAATTAGGTAGTAATTAAGAAATCATTATCTTATTAATAGAGTGAAAGAAAATAATTGAGTAAAATGGATTGATTACCAGACATTGAGCTAGGGGCATAGTTGGCTGAATAGACATATAAATACACTATTTAGAAAAGAAACAAACTAGTCTTATTTGAGGAAAACAGTACTAAATGGAGCCATTTCTACAATTATTTAACAACGAATAATCACCACGGTTCATGTGACATTCACTTTTAATGTCATAGCATGAATAATTAGGTTGTAACTTGTAAGCCTAAAATATCTTACCCGAATGCATCCGTGAGTTTAGTTTTGTGACTTTTTTCAACTGTCCACAAAGAACAAAAAATAATAGACCCCTTGTACTAAAATAAAACGTCAAGCCAAATATTTAGCATCATGTGTATAGATGTCTAATACTAACTACAATTAATTGTTAAAGAAAGAACCGAAACTGTAAGAACATTCACAAACAATTAATTGCATAGCCCCATAACACAGCATGAAGTCCTCCTCAAAAACAAACATCTACAATGGTGAAGATTGGCAATGTTTATTACAAGCCCACAAAAGATTTCCTGTTACTACTACGCATGACTTTCTTCAAAGGACTCCACACGATTTGCTTCTTCAATGCAACAACTGTTGGGTGCTTGGGCCTCCACGAACCTGGTTGTTGGGAAGGAGGACTCCCCACGAACTTGCTGCACCTTGGGCCGACCGGGGTAGCTTCCACCAAAGCACCATGTCTCTCCTCTTTCATTTGTGGCGAGGGGACCCTTGATCTGCGCCAGACTCTCTGTGGGTCCCAGACGAAGGACTGCCGACCCATTGAAGGGTAATCTTTATTCCCAGGGCGAGCAATGGAGGAGCTCTTAACAGGAGTTATCATGTTTGGTTCTGGGCGCAGGGTTGCCATTGAAGCTCTTCGCAGTGGTTGTTTAACCTGCAGGTTTCTGGTTTGAGGTGGAGAAGGTTTGACAGCAAGGGAACCCCGCCTTGCTTTTAAACCAGCTTTTGTTTTGTGAGCTATTAAGGCATTTTCTTTGGCTTCGTGAACTGTTGGAAGGAACAAGCTTCGGGCTCTTTGATGGGGGATGGATGATTGTTGGGGCACTAAGTTGGTGATTTTTTGAAGTGGGAATCTTGATCTTATTGGAACCAGTGGTGGTTTACTTTCTGTTGGCGCCGTCATCTTTCTAGAATATGGAGGTAACGCTGCCGAAGAAGGCTGATTAGAAGCAACAGCCAAAGCCCTATTTTCCTGCTTTAGCCTCATCTTCCTTTCCTCTGCTAGTTTATTCTCAAGATCGCGAACCTGTTGTCATCGTGCAATTATTAATACCTAGGTCGTGCTAAATCAAAACTGAATATAGAAATGGAAAGAGAAAATTTGATAAAACCTTCTCTTGAAGATTTCTGCTTATATGTTCTCGAGCAGCAAGTCGCAATTGCAAAGACTGCACGCTGTCTTGCAATTTCTTCATTTCTTTCTCATCATGCTTGCTTTTTTCTGCCTGTTCATATACACATAAGAGAGCGTTAGTCATAGTACTTGAGATGCCTCCCCTTCAAGAACGAAGAATCTACTTCTGCATACCATTTGTTTGTACTTGTTGAGTTCAGTGAAATCGGTTTGTCTTCGAGCAGGACCGTGCTCAACTCCTCTAACACGGCTTGCAAAGTTCAATGAGCAGAGGGTTTCCCCCAAGTCAGCTGCACATGGACTTATTTGAACAAACATCAAGGTCTTGCAATCTCCTCCTGCATTTCAAGTTAGGAACTGAGTGAATGTTATCATAAACATACGAGTTGCTAGGAAGGGGAACAAGGTCACACAAATTTCCAATATAATATAGAAATATTTGCACTAAATAGCACTAAAACTTAAGTCATTTCCCTAAATAGCACTTAAACTGTTTTATTCCCTAAATAGCACTTAATAATGTCCATAATGTCCTGTGTTGGCGAATATTTACTTGAATAATGACTAATGCATAATGACTAAAAGTGCTACATTGGGAAGAAAAACACATGTGGTGCTATTTAGGGAAAGTCATTATGTTTTAGTGCTATTTAAGTAAATTCCTCTATAATATAAGCTGAATGCAACAAAAAACAGTCAAACCATGGGGTAAAGGTTGCTATAGGAGGATGAAAGATTACCTAGAGAACTCTGCAGTATATGTGTGAGTTTTGAGTTCCTAGTTATTCCACAAGCAACACATAGTAATGAGGCACAGATGCACGAAGCCTAAATTCAGTACAAAAGAAATAATGCTAGCAGATTGAGAGAGCATACCTATATGGAACATGAGCTGTCTTTGCTGCAAGTGCAGAAATTACATCACCAAGTGCAGATAAGGACTTGTTTATAAATTGAGACTCCTTCAACCTTTCACCTTCAACTTCAATCCTCCCAACCCTCTCACTTCCTGCCAAGTCTACTAACCAGAGATGGCTCCTCGTCCTCTGTCCATTTATTAAATTCTCCCCAATGACGGTCACTCGCAACAAGCTACAATGATAATTGAAAAGCAGTTAGCTTCAGCTAATTTCTTCTCAGACACATCACGTCCATATTACAAAAGGAAGAAATGGATTAAATCACGAATCCATGAAAACTATACCAGTGAGAGCGACTGCTAAGTTCATTAGCATTAGTTGATCCAACCGATCTAGCTCGACTACCAGACTGGAGGAGTTCCCATACTTCATCTGTTCCATACACGCGTGCTTCAACAAGTCCTGGAACTTCTTGGGTACCTTCGGCAGATTGCTTCACTTCCAGCCTGCATACATAAGGGATCCGGTAAGAAATTGCTTAGGATACAGGATTACAGGAGCTCATAAAATGTTTCCTCCAGAGATAAACACAATTGGCACAGTACATGACCATATTCAAGCAGTAACATTTGAACAAAACTATAAGCCAAGGTCTAAGGAGGAGAAATTTACTTCTTGGTGGGTTGGTTGGAGTTCTCTATGAGAAGGTCCCTTATCTTATCATTGTACACCTCTAACATGCTGACAAACAACTCGTATTTGATGATACTGCTTCTCTCACTAGATGAGCTGAATAATTTCTCCAATGTTCGATAGTTGACTCCCCTGTTTTCAGGTGTTCCTTCCATTGTGAAGGTCTTGCCAGTTCCCGTTTGTCCATAGGCAAAAATGCATACATTATAACCATCCAACACAGAGGTTACCATTGGCATGGTTTCAACAAAAACGGCCTCTGCATTGCAGACATTGACGAATTATATTAGTATCTAATTAAAAATTTGTCTCACAGTTAAACAACATTGTGCCCGCTAAGACCATAGTTACCTTGGCCATCATCTGGTTTGAAAACGTGATCAAACCTAAACTGTTTTCTAGAAGAATCAGAGGAGACAATTTGTATCTCATTTTCATGAGACAAATCAAAGTCAACCACAGATGATGAACCATTCGCAACTTCATCAGGATTTAGTGGTCTGCATCTGCAGAAAACTCGTATATTGCCTTTCAACTCAATCACTTCATTGTAGAGACGTTTTTTCTCAGTGCACTCATCAAGGTATCTTTTCTTCAGAAGGTCACGCTCTTCTTCAAATTTCCTTTTAAGGAGTTCATGTTGCATGCCTAAAATCAGCCAAAAGTGAGAATAATAATCAAACCAAAGAAATAAATGAGCGAAAGGCATCGTAGAAAGTTCAAGAAAGCTGTCTATCAGAAAAGCAACATACCAAGATCCCGAAGAGCGCAGATAGCTTCAGAACCAGGGAAAGAATCTGGAGTGATACTCTTCACTTCATCACTCAGAGCCGCATGTTTTTTTCTCAAATCCTGGAAGGAAAATAGGGGCAGTAATGGGTGCAAAAGAAGATCCATTTCTATCAACAAACAAAACCAACCAGGCAATGAAAAGTCTTACGTGTACTTTAGCAGCCAGATCTTCAATTTTCTGAAAAATAGGGAGAGTTTGCTCTTGACATGATTTCTCTGTGGTGTCATTTGAACCACAACTGGCATCCAACAAAGCGCCGTTCGGCAGTGTTTCTGTCACAAATCAATGCATAGGTAATTTTAGAGGTTTTAAATTCAAAAGGAACCCCACAGTTAACAACAAGTTTGTGTTTCAATTTCATCAATTCAAAGTGAAAGATAAAAAATTCCAAATCATCCGATCGAATTAGTTACCCTTCTTACTTCATCGTGTCCTTCATATCTAAGTTCCAGGCCATTGAAATTGGAATGAAACATTCGAAATACTCAAAAAAACAAATGAACTACACGGACATGATTCAGGAGCAAGAGAAGAAAGGGGGAAAACATCAGGAGAAAGCAAATCTAAAAACACTGAGCGCGGAAATTAAAATCGAGATTTGCAAGAAAGGCAATATACCATATCAAAAGAACGAGAGTTTGGAGGCGTACCTTCCATGAGTGGATTGCAGTCGTAGGAATTGGCGATGAATTTGACGAGTTTCAGAGGTAGGAGACCAAATGCAGCCGAGAAGATAGCGAAGAAATTGAAATCTTGAAGCGCGAGAGAGTTGAATGGGAGACGAGAGAGAGGGAGAGAGTTTAAGGAGGCCAAGAATAGGGTTAAGAGGTGAGCATATACATGTTTTGGAAAATGGGAGATCTTTGCTTTGCTGTGCAACGGATAGTTTTCAAATTGTGGGAGAGCGTTACAGTATCCTGTCACCACTGCCCGACCCGAATGCCCCCTGATTGCCCAAACCCGTTTTGAAGCGCCCACACAATCGGGATTCCGGAGGCGCATCACATGTCCCAAGTTCCCAACCTTCTCAAATCTTCATTTCCGTTTGACATTTTAAACTTTACCCTTTGGTAAGTTTTGGAGGTATGACAATGTATGAGTTATGAAATCCGGAAGAAGTAATATGTGTTTTGAAATCTAAAACGAAACTGTTTGCTGAGATTCAAAATAATGATTTAATTAGTGATAATGAGGAGCAACGGGAGTAGTTGGCGGTGACAATGGCAGCCGGTGACGGTGAATGATCAATGGTTGACAGACATATCAAACTTCCATATTGATATATCTCCCAAATTTGAAAGATATCGAAACCTTCTATTTGAAAGATTTATAATATTTAAAGATATCGAATTCGATTTCTTTTTTGGCCTCACTAAACACCCAAAATAAATTTTGATATCTGGAGATATATCAAAATTCATATCTTACTTACTCACCAAACATTTAAAGTTTAGACGGGCCCCAAGGGAATTGAGGTGTAGGGATTATAATGGAATATAAAAAAGAACGAAAATGTTTGGTTCACAGATATAATGATCATAAATTTCACAAACTTATTATTTGTAAACTACACTTAAAAAATGAAATAATTTAAAATAAATTTAAAATGAAATTTAAACCATAAATAATAAATTTATGAATTTTATAATCGTTTTATTTATAAACCTAGCATTGCTCAAAAAAAGAAAAATACTCCCTCCGTCCCACTCTCTTTGTCCACTTACCTTTTGGCACATCATCCAATGCACTTCTTTAATCCATTTTATCTTGTAATTTGTATATTAAAAAATTATAGAAATTATATATTAATAATCTATATGTTAAGACAAATCAAACAAGATCACACATGACTATATTTAGGCTTACACATTGAGAGAATTTGATGAGTCAAAGTGCTTAGATGAACAGTTCTAAAAGTCAAAAGTGGACAAAGAGAGTGGGACAAAGGTAGTATGAAAAAGGGAACGAAAAGGTAATGGCCCAATGGACCCTCCCACTCCGTTGAACTCCTTCATCTTTTTCTCCAAATTCTACTCTCTCGTACATTTTCTTTCTTACGAAGTACTATATACGAAGTAATATTTTACAACAAGAGTACATTTCATTATTCGTCCTTTAGAGCATTACATTTTTTTATTTAATCCTCTATTATCAAATATGCCCTCCGTCCTAATTTATATTGCATGTTTCGGTTTACGATATTTGACTGAAATTATTTTCAAATGATTTTATATGGCAAATGGTATAGAGTTAAAAAATAAAAATTACATATTAAAATACTACATCAAAAGATCTACAAAACTAGTAGTGACAATAATTCTTTATTTTATCAAATTGCTAACAAAAATAGAGAAAGAAAGTAAATGAAGTTTGACCCTGTGAATAGTAAACATGCATTATAATTTGGGGCGGATGGAGTATTACACACATAGCCTTTCTTTTATGGATATTTTTCCATAAATTATCCCTTTTTTACCTTTTCATATTGATGTTAATTTGAAAGCTAAAAGTGTAATTTGACATCAAACGTATGCCCAGTGACATATTTTGATATCGATTAGACGGGCAATACAATAATATTTACTATGATTGTGGACTAGAATTCTGACGAAAGACAATATTTGCAGACTATAGTTGTAATAAAAAGTGATTATGATTCACAATTGACGCATCAAGAGCGGCTTTTGGAATTATGTATGTCACATCACTTTCCCCTTCAACTTTCTTTATCCTTCTCTAATCATTCCCTTACTTTTTAAATTTTTTTTATAAATGGCATTTTTTCATTTGTCCAAAAAATAAGAAAACATAATAAAAACAATTGACCAATCAATTTTTTCTCACTCTAGAAGAATATTATTCCCCTCCTCATCTTTCTCCTCTATTCCTCTCTCCCTTCTAATCATTTCTCTTCTTTCCCCTCAACATAATCTTATTCTCCCTCCATTCTAGCTCATTAGTGATGTTCTTCGACTTTACAATTTGGGTGCACAAGAAACTGGGAAAGTCTAGAATAGAGTCTTTGAATTTTCAGACTCAGCCTTCAAGACTCCCAAATTAATTCATTCAATAAAAACAGATACGTGTAATCAATAATAATTATTTTTTAATTAAAATACAACTCTCCGCAATTGAAAAAAACCAATGGTCAATTACTTCTACTTATATAATTTTATATTTTTTATGCTTTTATTTTTATTGTATGTAATTTTATATATCAAAATAATTCATATTCTCTTAAGGATCAACCAAAATAGAGTGATTATGCGTTTCAATTATGTCTTGTTATGTTGTTCTAATTTGTTGTGATTTTAATTTTATTGTACGTAATTTATATTTTTTGTGTGTTTACTTAAGTGATTTTAATAAATGCACTCATTTTATTTTATGTATTTTATGTGTAATAATTTAATATAATTTTCTCTAATTTTATGTTATTAATTTTTTAAGGTTAATTATATTAATAAACAAAAATGGTAGAAAAATTACTCGGTAATGTATAGTACAACTAAAAGTTAATAGAATAACAAATAGTGGAATGCTGAAGTGGCAATGTTTAGAGAATCTGAGAATTAGAATAATGCGAAATAGTTTTTAAAAACTGGGGAGGAATCTAAAATAATAAAATGCTGCCGCAACATAAGCTCCGTTAGGAAACATTAGAGACTAACATTAGTGTTTTCAAAAAACTATTTGATGACAACCTTTAGCGTTAGTGTTTTCAAAATTAATTTAGACCATTAAAATTTTATTTTAAACGTTAATACTAATTGAGAATGCCTTCAAGAATGAGAGTAGAATGCGGGGAAAGCCGAGGAGGGATGACTACGTGTGTAGGTCATAGGTACACTCGCCAATTAGCAAGGGTTGTGATCTAGTCATCTTCGAGCTAATTACAAATTGTGATATCCAAAAATCTTCTTTCCATTTGATTTTTCTTGTTCAAGTTTATAAATTTTAATATCAATATGTGAAAAAAGAGCATTACATTACACTACTTTTGTTCTAATTTAAATTGCATGTTTCGATCTATGATGTTTGATTCAAATTATTTTTAAATCATTATATGAAAAATGAGTTTGAATAAAAAAATAAAATAACATACTTAAAAATGCATTAAATGATCTACAAAATTAGTAATGACACTATTATATTTTTGTCAAATAACTAACTAAAATAGAGAAAAAAGTTAATTAAATTCGATTGCGTGAATAGTAAAAATACAATTTAATTTAGAACAGATAGAGTAATACAAATATAATATCAAAAGACTCTTTTTATATATAGTTTAAAAATATCAATTTTTTATAAAATATATTTACATATAAGCTTATACATTTATGATGCATTGGATACCGTAACACCTCCTCCGAGGGACTCTCAGCCTAAACACAAATACACAAACAAATACTCCCTCCATTGCATAATAAATGTCTAATAAGACACTTTTGATACATTAAAAAGTGAATGAATGTAGACATACTTAATGCCTCCATTCTTTTATTTTTCAAAGTATCAAGAATGTCTTATTAGACACTTAATATGGAATTGAGAGGAATAATTTCATCAAAAAATTACATGGGGTACACAAACTTGTACCCTAGTCATCTCCTCACACACATCTCTTGGTGTAGATTTAAAAAAAAATTGAGAATAAGTAAGATGTGCGAGGTACAGGAAAGACTAGCGTACAAGCCGGGGTAGAATTTGGTGTACCCAAGCTTTATTCATGTCATCTCAATATTCTTGAGATTCATTGTTCTTGCTATATTAGGTCATAATTTCAGTGGATTAAACATCTATCACAAAGATTCTATTTTTTTCATAGGAAAAAGCCAACACAAACATGCATTGATTTCACAATCTTCTACCTGCAGGCTAGAAAAGGGCAAGCAACCAAATTGAAGCCTGCTAGAAAAAGGGGAACTGTATAGAATGTCAGATCTGATTATGAAAGTTTCACAGCAAAGAATCATGGGTGAAGAACAGCAGCAGAGTTTGAAGTTACATTATCCATCGCCCCCTTCCGCCTTTTCATCAGCTAGAGTGGCCACTGCTCTTCCTAGCAGCATAAACGCGGTAAGCAGCAAGGCCTACAACAGCTACTGCCGCCCCGACTTCAGACATTAAAAAAAAATGAATAGTTAATTGAGATTGTGTGGAATTTGTGTAGCACGCCAACAGTACAAAAGAATGAGGTAGCACACCAACACTAGCTAACTATATATGTCGGGGGCAGTTCCTATGATATTGCTTAGCAATAACGTGGGATGACCCGACGACCCTGCAGTGCTCCGTTCGAAAAAATGACGGTTCTTACTCCCCCTAACCCCCTCCCCCCTCTATTGCACCCCCAAATTTAGTTGACTTTGGAGTCATTTCTTTACTCCAAAGTCAACAAAATTTGGGGTGCAATTCAAAGGGAGGGGGGTGGGTTAGGGCCGGGACAAGGTGGGGGGTTTACTTGGAGTGGGGGGGGGGAGTAGCAACCGTCAATTTTTCGAACGGATCACCGTAGGGCCCCCAGGTCATCCCATGACAATCATCCCAATGTCATGGGAACCAAGCCAATATACGTCCTAAATCTGAACCCTGTAGATTCAAGTTCGACAATTAATGCCAGAGCATTGGGAGTATGTCCCGAGTTACTACTTTTGTCCATTGTTCTACAAATCAGCATACGCTTAACGCTCTAGTTGGCAGTCTAAAAACATTTAAGAACTCATACTTTTGAATACTTCAGACTCATTCATGTTTTACTTAGATTTTGTTCTAATTAAATTAGGGAATGATTTTGGATTGTTTCTATAGTTGTATGCCAATGATTTATGTAGATTTCGCATGAAAACAATCCAAGTGTGTGTTGGGTGGGGAGAGGGCAGCCTGCTTGGGCGGCCTAGGCATTAGGCACTGACCTTCTGCCCAATGACCTAAAGACTTCTATATCTTTACTATCCTAGCATGATATTACTAGGGTGAGTTGTGTCAAAAATTTAAAAAAAACAAAGTATGTGCGTATTCGAAATCCAATATCCATACCAGACACAAACATGAGAGAGCGGTTGACAAGCCTGTGATACTGCTTCCTACTTCTGCCAGCTTCAGTTTCCGGAATGCTCAGATGCGGACGCTCAGCTGCATTCACAATCCTTTGGAACAAATTACTGAAATCACCAAGCTTCGCACTTATTGGTATGGGAGCTTCGATGCCCATATCCTGGCTAACCTGTTTGACAAATACATCACAACCTCAGAGATAGCTCATTACTTGTAGATGTTATTAAAAATAATCAAGGGAAGTGAATCTTGTTGTCATGTCAGTATGTCGCACAAATAACCTCATAGAAAATAGTACTGACATGACCTAATATGCTTCTACATGATAGCCTAGAATTAATTCCTCAAAATGGTCTCATGAATATATACAGTTTTCAACTTTTGTCCACATTATAAATCGACAAAATGGTCATCAAGCATTGTAAAAAAATGTCTTAGGCGGCTGTCACCTAGGCACTAGCAGGTCCTCTGTGATTTTGTAATAATCAGCATATTGTTTAGAAGGGCACACAATTTGGCAGACTAGGTGATATGAGTCAGAGTTATGCAGAACAAAAGACTATACACATGGAAGAAGTTGAGAGTTTGTGAATTTCTGTCACCTTCCAGACCTCCAACAACAAAGACATCTACCACTACAATGCAAGTGTGTTCTAATTCTAACGCAAACTTTGAATTTACATAAAGCAAAAATGGCAATAATCAATTCCATAGCATTTCCTTTACGATAAATAATGATTATTAAATGTCTCGTCTCGTCTCATTTAGTTACTTGTGTCCAAAGATATCAATGACTAAAACAGTCCTATAATTAATAGCTTACCCTTGTTGAATCTTGTATTTCAGTCAAATAAGGGTCAAGGTCATCTTTAGCTGCCACAATGAGACAAGGGATCTCATAGCCAGTGGCCTCCCCATTACTAGCAACTTCTACAAGCAATTCAGATGCTCTCTTCCACGAGGGCTCACTAGAACTAACAAGCACCACACAATTAAAAAACTTGTATAACAGCAAATGCAACACATGCAAAAAAAAGAAAAGAACAGTACAATACTGGAAAGAACTACAATTATCAGTATAGAAATTTGAAATTTGTAAAAAAGAAAACTGTGAGTAAAATAGTAAATTCCAAAATTATGCAGTGATAGCAGAGAATATTAGAAGTGCTGTTTTTATATAAGTTGATTCTAGGTCCTGATAATGATAGGTGGGCATGGAAGTGCCTTTGTTATTTTGTACGTCCCCTTAAAGGAAATAAAAAGATTCTAACTTTTTTGAGATGATATACACACGCATATACAATGCTGTGCGGTGTGTGCTGAACAATCAATAAGAATGTAAGGAGAGCAAACTCATGAGTCAAGACACCTGTCATGGACAAATATTGCAACGTCACATGCGGCTAAAGCATCTTTTGCAGAGAGAAGCTTTTGCACACCATCATTGGGAACCTCATGCAAGACTAGAGTTTTCTTACCACCCTGTGATCCATACAAGAGCATGTAAGAAGAAACTAAGAAAGCTTAACCTACTTGTCTCATTCTTTGTGTCTTTCAAGTAAGTTATATTACTATTGTCCTTTCCACATTTTTTCCCTCGGCCCATTTCCCACCTAATAACATCAAAAGTGTAAAAAAGAATAGAAGAGAACAATATAAAAATCCCATCCTAGATCTCATTTCAGATATCGGGCCATTTCACCCCTCATTTTAATAAAAGAACAGAAGTGCAGTTACCCCAGGCAGACGGACTGCATTAACTGTGTATCTGTCATCAGCATTTGATTCGTATTCTTCGGAGAAAGGCCTGGAGTTGAACCGATGAACAAGTTTTATTGGGAAAGTAACATCCAAACTATGTTTCCTAGTCCAAGTTATCTAAATTTCAAAAATATTTGATCACAAATGTTTCTGAAAGAGAACACACACACAAACCTTCCAACAAAGGAATTCAAAATTGCAGATTTTCCTCCTTTTTTTGGCCCAAAAACAAAACACTGGTACACATTTCTATCTGAGTGCTGCTTCTTCCGATCTAAGCGCCTTCTTCGAGTGACACGGATAGCAGATGAAGGATCACCTGCATATCCAAGGTATATAATATGTTCCACCGCAGCCATTGGATCAAGAAGTGTCATGAGATTCCACTGCATTGTGTGCAACTAATAGTCAGAATTGTAAAGTTTAGAAGTTTCTCAGTAAATAATCTATTAGTTTCTCAAACATCTTTTTCGCATTCTAGTGACCATGCAGATTTGGAATTGATCGATTGATAACTAACAAACATGATTTGACATTCTTAAACTATAATCCCTCAGTCCGAAAAAGAGTCCTCGGTTGACTCAGCACGAAGATTAAGAAAAGTGATTTTTCACTTTCCAATATTACCGTCATTTGAATGGCAGAGAACTAGAGAAGCAAGGTAGAGGAGGGGTGGTAATTAAGGGAAGTAGTGAAAAAAGTCATGGGCATAAAAGAGAAATCAACTTTTCATAGAAAGATGAACTTTTTTGGAACCACCTGGAAAGAAAATGAGGACTCTTTTTCTAGGACAGAGTGAGTAATAAACTACTAATACTATTAATAATAGGTTGACACCAGGTATAATGAGAACTGCAACATAATTGCAGGTATAACCAACCCACATTCTTCACTATTTTGAACTGCTCAATATGGTTACAAACTCTCAATTTTTAATGGCTTTTAATAGTGGATCAACCATTAACCTGCCATTCGGGTAGTGACAGTTGCAGGAATATCAATCATCAACCCATAGTATTATAATCATCTATCATACACACCAGTGATATAAACCCATCAAGTGAGAGTCCTCCCAAAGCATCCTTCTCGGCCGCATCTTTGTATGGAGCTTCACTCCAGGGACTAATACAAAGATCATAAAGTGGAAGCTGGTGTGAGTTTAAGTTTAGAGGGAAGAGGAGGTGCAACATTTTAAAACTTTCAGCGCTGAGCCAATCCTCAATTTCAGACCGTTTCCCTCTGAGTGTGAGTATGTGTGTGGAGTGGGTGGTGGTGTGTGTTCTTATGTCCTGAAGACGGGAGAGTTAACATTACTTTTCAGGTGCCACTGAAAACATATTATCAAGATCACTGGATTGAAGAGCTCCATCCTGAGAAATTCAATCAAATAAAATATTAAGAAATCAAGATTTCAAACATTTTAAAACTCATATTTAAAATAAAGATAAAACTATTAATTAAAATGGAGATAAATCATACTTCATCATCGTCAAATGTGACAAAAACATTCTTGAGAAACTCCGCAGCCTCATCTGTCAATTCGACGCTCTAGAAAGATAAAAAAGTTAGCATTTAAAGCAGAAACCTTGAAAATGCATGTTAAGTTGGCCAGCTGACATACTTACCAAGTTACCAACTAGTGTGTATTAAGCAATGTATACTGTATCTTACAGTAAACATTATCTCATCCAATGGAGCCACAGATTTGCTATTTTTTGGCTTTGGGGTAATGATGAAATAAAGCTAAATGGCTCGTTAAACTATCTGAGCTTCTTAGTGAAGCAGCACTCAGTCAACGCAACTTTTGATGCTCATTACGGGTCACCTAGAAACAGTCACTCTATGTTTTAGCATAGGGGTCAGGGTGCACACATCCAACCCCCCCTCCCCCCCCCCAATAATGGCCGGGAACCTTTGAGGCACCAAGTTAATGTTGTTGTTGTTGTATACTGTATTATACAATGGTTATATTTCAAGTTTCAAGCCATTTTCAGCAATGTTAAGGTATCAAAAATACATGCAATACAAACGATATAGGCTCCATAGCTTGGCATTGTGCATGAACTATATTTATATAATTTATCAATAAACAGACTAGAATTTGTTTTAGTTTATGAAGGTTGTAGAAATTACTTTCTTAGGCCAGGAACATACCAATAAGATAGTAAATTACTCCCTCAGTTCTTCCATCCTGGTTTCAATTGGAAAATTTGACTTCACATCGTTTAAGAAAAGTGTTGAAATGTAAAAAATGAGTTGTTGAAATTTGTTAAGAAACGGAAAAATGTGGACCACATATTCTTTACTTTATTAGGAAAGTAAAGAAGTGTAAATATATTTGTGACAACAAAAAAAGGAAAGTGTGTCGATTAATTTGGGATGGAAGGAGTTCAAGGCATAAGCTAAACCGAAGAATAACATAAGCAAAAAGTCAAACCCAATGAAGAGAGAACAGAGAACTTGCCTGGTCTGGATGCCTTTTAATGGGAGGAGGAAGTTGATCCTCGTTAAGTCTGATATCATTGTTGTATCCATATTTGCGCAGTACAGTCCAGGTTGTCTCCAAGCGTCCTTTTTCAATAAACAAGGCATGGAGAAAGAGAAAACCTGTCAACGTAAGACCACGACTGTTGACTCCTTCAGGCATTTGATCTTGCACCACTTTCTTAACCCCCATTATTTCTGAAGGTTGCAATGGAGCATTGAAACATTTGACCTGTGCAATTTTCCCCACCAAAAGAATCACCCAACAAAAGCAGAATCCATGAGCTCCAACTCATTATCTATTATTCAGCAAGAAAGCCAACATGAATAGAAAAGGGCTAAAATATAAGGAAAAATTCACAACAATACTTCGAAAAATCTTTGATTTTACAAGAATACTCTGAAAATCAATTAATTACACCATTACTCCCACAATTGCTCTCTTTTTATACAAACACTCCACAAACCACCTCACTTGCACAATCATAGTGTGTAATACCTACATGGATTTTTAAAGTGATGATTTGAAAAATAAATCACTTTTTTTAGTTTTCATAAAAATTAAATTTGTATTCCTCCTCAGCTCCAACGCAAATATTAGTTTTCTTACATATTTATTTGGGCGACCATTTAATTGAGTGATCTTTTAACATTTTATTTTTTCCAACACTTTCTAACTTTTTCTAGTTTTTTGAACTTCTTCCAACTTTTCAAACATCCAACTTTAGAATTCCAACCGAAAAGAACAAGCCCTAATTCTAATTGTGAGACACGTAATTGATAATTGAGTTGGAGGATTAAGTAATTTAATTTTTTATGAAAACTAAAAGAAGTGATTTATTTTTCAAGTCATCACTTTAAAAACCCATTTACATATTAATTATATAATATGATTGTGCAAGTGAGGTAATTAGTTGATTTCCGGAGTATTCTTGTAAAATGAGAGATTTGTCGGAGTATTGTTGTAAATTTTTCCAAAATATAAAACCTGAAAGTTATTCAACTCAGCATCATTAAGGGCTCCATCCCTATCATGGTCGCAAAGAATGAAAATTCGTTTCAAAGCTCTCACACATCTTGGTCTTAAAGTTTGAGCTTCCTGATCAAACAGTGGAGCAGTTGGGTGCAGAACAGTCTTTTGTCCGTAGTAGAAAACTTCAGAAACCTGCAAGTAGTCGTCGGTTTCAGGTTGTTGGAGATAATGGCATAAGAACTACACTCTAGCAGTACATTCAGTCTTTCAATCAAAGGCATGATAACATAAATGCTCGAACTCCAAAAAATCATATAAAACTCAACATATCTTGATGACTATTCCTCCCATCCCAAAAGAAAGTATCATTTGAACTTTGAAATGATGATTTTAGTAATGAAATGAAGCTTTTATGGGCATGTAGTATAATGCGAGAAATGGAAATTGGCAGTTAATACATGGTATCCCATTAATAGTTTGAAAAAATGAAATCAAATTTACCTGAATTAGTTTGTATGCAGAGCACTCAATACATGTTTCGATCTCCCTGAATTGTTGCATTATGGGCAACATAACCTGCTCCAAACTAATAGCCTGCTGATCATCCCTCATGTCAAGCATACAACCCACAACAATGACAGGGGCCTTGACCTGCCACATAAGATAAGTAAAGCCATTATCATGATGGAAAACATTTAACACAATTACACCATGGATAGTAGCATGCTCTTTCTTCAGCGAAGCCCCGCGGACTTAACTAATGGGACGAGGCTCCATTGCTAACACAAGGGGATAGGGCCGGATGAATTTCCTTGTGAATTCCCACATATGCCCTCATGTCACAGTTTAGAGCAGCCCTAGCCCCACCTGCCGCAAAATTACACCTTAAATTATAAAATGGGTATTTTGTAAAGTTATACTTCTAAATCCTAGTCTCATCCTTCCTACCAAAGTCTAAACAGAGCTTGAATAGAATTAATCATTTTAAATTTTAATGAGTTTAATTCATCGATATTTCTTTAAAAAAGCATTATAAAATTATGCCAAGGCAATGAAAGGAAAAATCGGAGGCAGACTACGCCACATGGGCTTACACCTTAAATCAATAAATAAAATTATTAAAATATGGTAAAAGATATAGTCCATATAATTCATCTTGTTTTTGCAATGACATTATATCTGGAAGACTTAAAGTAGTAAAATATAAATATACACAATATTGTTCACAAAAAAAACTTAAAGCAATAGCAGATAAAATAATAAGATGTACTTGTACATGTCATTCCAAAATAAATAATCACTTTTAGATAACACAAGTGAAAAAAACTCATCATACAAATTAAGTTAAATCTTTTCGTTTTTATTAAAATAATATGGGTTGTAAATTTTTAGTCGCTCTTAAATTGAAAACTATTTTGATTTAGTACACCATTTGTCAAATCTGTTAGTTGTTATTAACAATTAATTCCACCAAAGCATTCAGCGTAAACCAGTATTGAAAAATATTTAATGGGCCGAAGCACAAGTCACAAAATGCTACTCCCTCCATCCTAAAATTATCTTCCCGTTCACTACTAACTAGTCAAACTTTATCCACTTCGTTAGCTTATTTTCATTACTTTTTTTATATAAAAAAAATATAATCATGTCACCTCTAGTTATAATCATGTCACCTCTAGTTTCATAGATCTTTTAGTTTTTAAATATATAAACTTTATTTTTAAATTCCACACCAGTATTCATATAAATTAAATTAAAAATAACTTTAGTCAAACATCATAAATGCAACAGGAAGTTGGTTTTAGGGCAGCGGGAGTATTAAATAAAACCTAGCCACCTTTCATTTCTAAAACCCCCTACAAATGTGCAACTTTTTCTCCTTGGTATCACTATTTCCTCTTTTGTTTTGTTGCTCTAAGGCACGGGTGTCCTATTACTAATCCTAGTATGCACAATCATCATCAACTTCCAATTCTTTGTGCTGAAATTAAAGCTTAAGCCTCATGCATCTTTGCATCACCTAGACAACAAGGCGTCTACCACATTTGTCGCGAAGAAGACTTAAGCATGCGGTGCATTTTTGTGTGCCTCAATTCCATTGTACTTAGGACGTGTAAACCTCATTTGTCTTCAAAAAATGAAACATACAAAGACAAACACTTCTTCTGAAATGACCGCTTAGTCACACAACTGAGGACATCATCAGATCATCTGCCTCATTCTCAGAAAGAGATAGATAAACACTATCTTTCCTAAGAAAAAACTTCTGTTGAGATGAGGCTTCTTTATGTGGAAAGTAGTTGCTTATAAGAGTGCACCAAATAATATATGAAACTGTGAATGTCTAAAAAATTTCAGGGAACAAACCTCTAATCTACGAAGTTCAGGCAGCCAGTATGTGCTCAACCGATCAAGGGTAGCAGGCTTATCGCATGCATACGTTAGCACGACCGCATCAGCTCTCTTCATTTCCTCAAAAAGTTTATTTCTGTTTTCTGTCCTGCACAACATAACATGCCAAACTACTTAAAAAAATGTATTCGACCCCACCCACTCCCCCCCACCCCCCCCCCCAAACACAAGAGTAACAAACAACATGAAAAGAAGAACTGGTAACAAACAAATCTACTTCTAGTTAGGGCCTTATGGGTTAGCACCGAATGGGTTTTAAACAAATCCATGTTCCCAATTCCCATCAGGATGAACCAGCCAAGTTAAATTGTGGATTATTCAGTTCAATAAGTCAGTTTTTTGGAGTCTATTTTATTGTTAATTATTCAGCACTTCATCAAAACGTCTATTGTAAACATTTTACATAATTAGTTAAGATCGACCACATGGCACATGCAAAAGTTAAGGAGGGTAGCAGATGAGGATGCCTAGGTGGATGTGCAGATGTGCTATGCGAGATAAGGTTGGGAACGACAATACTCGGGATAAGGTTGTACGGGATAAGGTTGAAGTGGCTTGACCAGCTTGTGTGGAGAATAAGCTGCGTAAAGCAAGATTGAGGTGGTTTGGGCATGTATTAGAGGAGCACAAATGCATCTGTGATGAGGTTCGAGATGTCAGCTGTAGGGATCAGAGAGGTTGACAAGTGAAAAAATAGTTGGAGCAAGGTGATAAGACCAGAATTGGTGGTCGTGCAGCTCACCTAAGTGCATGCCGTAGATAGAAGTCTTAGTTGTAAAGTATGCCTAGACAGGGGTGGTTCTTAGCGTCTTAAGGGCTCTCAGGGTTAGCTGGGTCTAGACTGGATTGTACAAAATGGTGTTTTTTGTTGGTCAGGTTTCATTGGACCTCAAAAACTCAGAGAGTCCAATAATAAGTGCTTATATTTTAAGGGTTGGTCATGCTCAGAGCTGGAGCTCCTATAATAAGTGTGGTTTTTTTGTTGTTTTAAGGTCATATAATAAGTGTTTCTTTGCAGCATAGTATGTTTTAGAGATTAATGTTTGTCTTAAACTGTCAATCTGTCATATGCTTCTAATACTTTCCTTCATATTCATTGTTATCATTCCTTCATTTTATCATTATCCCCAAATTATCGAACTATTAGTGTCACATTTCCCCGAACACAAAAGTATGCATGGCTATCTGCGCCTGCAACTGATGACATTTGAATATTTGATACAGTCTTATGTAATTCTTTTTATGTAGTAATAATGTTTTTTTAAAAAAATGAAGCTATGACCCCCTGAAACATTAAATAATGCACTAAAACCCCCCTAAAACATTGAATTTTGCATTAGAATCAATACTAGCATAAATGCATAAAGGTTAATTATAGGAAGGAGTTGAAGACCTGGACGATGTATCGATGATGGTAACAGGAACACGGTCGGGGAAGAGGTCATCGGGAAGCCGTGTAGGGGGCAATACAGCGGGGACACTGGCCGGAAAGGACTCAGTAGCGGCCGTCAGAATTAAACTGGATTTACCGGTCTTAGGATCACCGGCGACGACGATCCTGACACCGGGAACGTTCCCTTTCGCCTTGGATGAAATACCTCCTGCCATCCGCCCTGACTTTCTACTCGCCAACCTCACCGGAACGAATCAGAAGGGTTTTCCGCGTTTAATCGCCTGCAGACTTGTATGCGAGCCCTAAAATCTGATATATGTGGAGATTATTGAGTATTAAATCTATGCATGGGTATGAAGATTATAAACTTTTCGAAGAAGGCATGAATGGCGGCGGAAAGCGGGTGTGGAAGGAAAAGCTCGGATGAAAAATAGAGAGGGTTTTGGAATTTGGGAAGCTGGAAAATTCATACGACTCGGGTAAGTTCGTAAATTCTGTGCACTGATCCGACGGCTGAAAACAAGGCCTTCATTTGGATACCAAAATTTACAGTATGGACGGACTCTCGTGCCTATCCAACCCTTCAACCTTGCAAGCAAATACAATGACAATGCAAAAAAAATACATAAAACTCTTCAACCTATTACAAATAATCTAGTCACTGTGTGGCAAAGGAGAAGAGTGACATTTCATGCATTAGCAAATTAATGTTTTCTCACTTTTTATACTTTTTTGATATATTTTAACTATAAAAATAATTGTATTTATCTTTTTTTATAAAAATAGATGTACTTCGTATAAAAAAATTCCTCTCCATTGTACAAAAAAAGAAACAAAAACAAATTTAAAAAAAGAAATTGGAAAGGGGTGCCTTGCTCACGACTCTCAAACCGTGTGATTAGAAATAATACGTAGCTGAGTCCACATTTCTCAAATATTTATAAAGAAGACTCAAACCAGATCTGTTTAGTAAAATGAAGGAATAATAGAATATTCCTCCAAAGATGATGCCCCCCTCCTATAAAAGAGAGGGTTTGCCCTCAAAATTGGGGAGGCCTCTCACCACTATCCCTCTCAAATACTCTCTCTAGAATATGTATAGTATATTTTTCTTTTTCTTCAAGAACTCAAATACTCCATTAATGGCTTCTATGTGTAAATTATGTACCGTGTACAACCCCTAATATTAATAAAAATCTCCCGTTGGTAAGATACCGCCAAAAAAGGCATGTGGTTTTTTTCCTATTGGGTTTCCACGTCAAAATCTTTGTTTTTATATTTTGGTGTTGTAACACCCTCCGTCCCGTGAACCCGGTTCATCGCGGTCCAACGAGCCGGAAAGGTTACGTAGACGGTTTTTAAGGTCGTCCACAAAAAAAACCCTTGCACTGCTTGTAACGGAAATCCCTTGGTTAAAATATATTTAAATGATGGAAATTAATTCATCAAAATAGAATGTTTATAACGGAAGTAAATGTAAATAAAATCGATAAGTGTTTAATAACGTAAGTGCAACAACGGTGGGTTCAAGCCCAAAATAAGTTTTAAGTAATAACGGATAACTGGTCGGTTCCACACTGTCCTTCATCCGTCACCCCGATCACCCAATCGTCCGGGTCAGGCTCTATGATCCTCTGGCCTACCTGCGTATAGCAAAGGAAAACAACGCTATACGCTTAGCAAAAGCTGAGTGGTAATCTAACAGTAGAACACATAGTACATTCACATTGATATACACATAATCGTACCAGTACTAAGTACGGGGAACCACATCCAAATTTGTTGAATATTAAGTTACGAATAACAGTGATGCAATGCCAGATATTCATGATGCATGAGTTAGACTGCGCAGGGACCCGTGCCCTTCGGTGATCATCCCCACGCGGTAGATGAGCCTAGGAATGCCTTAGTCATCCCGATGGAGACTAGAATGTGGGTGATAGCTAAGCCTAGCTACCATGTGCGTACACAAGCCCTCGTGATGAAAACCCGTTGGACCCCGCAGGTTCCTGGACGGGCCCGCGGAAGAGGCGCACTAGGCCTGACCTCTTGTCGCGGTATGCAAAGTATGTCGTGATCCTAAACATGCGTCTAGGATATACATGATGATATGAGTGCACTGCTTTGATGAATGAAATCCAACACATACATATACGTTTGATTCCATATGAAATGATTTGTACAAAATGATGGCTTGGGTTCAGAACTGGCCGATAATCGATTAATGTATGGTGATAATCGATTATCACGCTGTGCAGCTTCTGTTCCCCAAGGTCCTGCAGCTTGTGATTGTAATACCTCGTATCAAGATGAGAATGGGAAGAGCACAAAAGGATTGATAGTACTACTCATACCAACAAGGTGCATCTTCTTTTCGAGAGCTCATCACCTAAAAAACTATAAAGTTAAGCGTGCTTGACCTGGAGCAATTTTAGGATGGGTGACCCCACTGGGAAGTTTTCATTGGGCGTGTATGAGTGAAGACAAAGTGTGCGGGAAAGACTTGTGTTGGTTTGTGGGGCCAGTCTACAATCCTATGAGCAGACACTTACGGTTAGGGTGGGGGTTGGGGTGTTACAAATGGTAACAGAGCAACCCTGCGACCGTGACGGGCCAAAAGAGCTTAGTTCACCTAGCGGGGAAGATCTATGAGTTCAAAAAAAGGATGCAACAAGGACGTTGCATTCCTAAGTGGGGGTGAATGTAATACCCCGTATCAAGATGGGAATGAGAAGAACTCAAAAGGATTGATAGTATTATTCATACCAACAAGGTGCATCTTGTTTTCGAGAGCTCATCATCTAAAAAAACTCAAAAGTTAAGCGTGCTTGACCTGGAGCAATTTTAGGATGGGTGACCCCCTGGGAAGTTTTCCTTGGGCGTGCACGAGTGAGGACAAAGTGTGCGGGAAAGACTTGTGTTGGTTTGTGGGGCCAGTCTACAATCCTATGAGCGGACACTTACGGCTAGGGTGGGGGCCGGGGTGTTACAGTGATAGTCGATTGTCATCTTCTGACAATCAATTGTCAGGTTGTTTGTTCAGGGAGTCGAGGTTCAGAAAGATTTGATAATCGATTATCACCTTTATAATAATCGATTGTCACGCTTTGCTGAAGAACCGAGGAGTTCAGCATGACCCAATAATCGATTATCAAGTTCTGTAAATCGATTATTAAGGCACGTTGGTTCCTATTTTGCCTGATGGATTTTCATCGAGACGTTAAGAGTTTTAGAAATGAACGTTTACGTTTCCAGCTTAAGTAACCGATGAGTTTGCAAAGTTTCATTACGTTTATATTATCAAGTGCATAATCGAAAGATCTAACTAACGAAGAGTCGTGATAACGTGGATACACGTAGGTTTAGCCGGGTAATCCTATGGATATAACGATATGATTATACTATGAATTCTAAAGTTAGAGGGCAACATACTCACCTCTAAACGAAGAATTTTACGATGACGGAAAATGGGTGAACGAACAGGCGTCTAACGAACGGATGACGAACAACAATCAGACGAACTTCTTGCGTGAACTTTCCTTCTTCTACCTCCCCGTCTACTCGCCAGAATCTCCTCGTTTGGCTGCTGCTGTGGGTGGGCCGAACACAAGGGAGGAAGAGGGAGAGAGTGAGGATTGTGTGTGGGAGTTACAAAATGTGAGGAAATGAATGGGAAGAGTGGGGATTTTAAGTTAAAGAGTGAATGAGGGAATTATGGGGAATAAAGAGGAAAATAAATGAGAGTGATGGTGAGTTAAAGGGATGAGGGTGGCGTATGGGTGTATTTGGGGAGTTATCTCCCATTGGTTTTACTCTGTTGTAAAAACTAACTTGGACGGTACGCGCTATTTTCCCCGAATGGGTCCAAATTGAGATCCGTTTGCGTTTCTAGAATCAGACAGTCAAAACGAATATTATGACGTGTTCAAATAATTTCTGGGGATTTTATTTTTCCCAACCCCGGTCCGAGTTAGTAATTAATTATTTAGATTAATCAATTCTAATAGACCGGGTCGTAGGGCGTTATAGGTGTACTTTTTTAGACTAGTTTATCGTTTGCCCGGCTAAAAATGATATACCGTTCGATAATTTACACCATCATTTTGGCGCTGACCGTGGGATCCGAGAAAATTGTCATTTTGCTCCCTTCTTTCATCTTGCTCAACAAAAAAAAGAAATGGGCAAGAGGATGAAATGAAATGCCACCGCTAGAAACGAGGGAAGGAAGAGGAATAAGATGAGGAAGGCACCCAATGATCAAAACAGAAACTCCTCGAGCAGCTGGGCTACGGCGGCGGCCACATTCTCAGTGGTTTTTGGTCCCGGTACGTTAGAGACTCGTTCCGAATGGACAAGGACACGACGAAGAATCTTTAAGGAGCAAAACACAAGAGGGGCCACATCGTACACCTCGAAGGAGAGGATCTTCTCTCCATTCTCGCCATGCCATTCTCTTCCCCGGAGGACGACAATGACTGATCCTCCTCCTCCGCCAGGTAACAGCATGGAGGAGACCGTCTGCACCGCCAGGGTACAACAAAACATCGACGACTCCTCACGCACCGACATCTCTGACCCACTCGCCGGTTACTTCTTCACCGTCAACAAATATACCCTCCGCATTTTCGGCCAAGTCAAACTCAGTGCCGGCCACAACTCTGATCTATTAAAAGGTCACCTCGTCCTCCCTAAAGTTCACTTCCGAAGACTTATGTTGCTGCTACTAGAGTCTGTCGCAAGGGAGGCCCTAGCCCACCGTCACCACTGCTACGCAAATCTTCCACCACCGCTATTTTGGAAAGATCTTCCACCACCGGTGTTAGGGAGAGAGAAGAAAATTGTCAATGTTACCATTACTTCCTCCGACAGCTAAAAACAAGGCCATCATTTGGATCCCAAAATTTACAGTCTAGAGTCTTCAATCCTTCAATTCTTCAACATTATCAATTATCAATCACCATTAACCGTGTACTTCGCACGGACTCGTATATATTCTCAATGTTTGAGATTGTATAAATATAATGACAAAATATGTTTGACACTAGTTGAATATATATATATATATATATATATATATATATTAATATGTTGATTTAAAAACAAAATATTTATACAAAATTAATGGTCATTGAATTAAGTGCTAATAAAATTATTTTAATTAATAAAATATTATAATAAAAAATGGATTAATTACATGATTAGAGAATGTATATGTGTCATAATGTCACTTGTCACCTCCAATAAACCAACTTTAATTAATAAATATTCATATGTGATTAAAATTATATAATCATTTTTTGAGAAGTAATAAACAAAAATAAGTTGTGGATAGTATAAAAAATAATCCTATATGTATGTATGTATTTGTTTGTGTGTGTGTGTGTGTGTATAAAATAGGGAGTATATTATACAATGGCGATATATATATATATATATATATATATATATATATATATATATATATATATATATA